GGTTATGCTTTTAACATAAACTTCATGTCAGCAGGATACATAAACTTGTAATACATTCCACAAAATAGACTTGTTCCACAATTGACACACATGTTCCACAACAACAGTAGAATACATAAACTTGTTCATGACAGCTAGGTTATGCTTTTAACATAACTGATACACATGTTCCACAACAACAGCAGAATACATAAACATTGTAATACATTCCACAGCTAGAGTTTTTAACATAACTGAATACACATGTTCACAACTAGAGTTTCTTCTTTGGCGTGGTCCTCTTTGTTGGAGTAGACCTCCTTGTTACTGGGCCAACAACATTCTTGGCAACACTTAACCTAGTTGTAGGCCCAGGTGGCACAAAAGGTCTTGTTGGCTTCCTTACAGGCATCTTTTATGTCTTGCCCTTAGCAGGTCCATGTGTCTTCTGAGCAGCCTTTTCCTTAGAAGTTTGAGATGCTTGGCTATATTGTTGAGTATAAGTTCTCTTAGCAGTGTGTGTTGCTTTATTCTGAGAGGGTTGGCTTGGTTGTTGAGTAGGCTGAATTGTTGAAGTAGGAGTGTGTTGGCTTGGTTGTTGAGCAGTCTGAGTTGGAGTATGAGAGGGTTGGGCTGATTGTTGAGTAGTCTGACTTGTTGTGTCCTTACATGTAGACTTGTAATGTCCTGCTTTCTTACACCTACTACACTTCACTAGAAAACCTGTTCTTCTCAATTTTCGAGCAGACCCATCAATTTTACCTTGTTCTAGGTTCCTCCTCTTTTTAGGTCTACCAGACATCTTCCTGAACTTGGGTGGTTGCACATCTGGATATGTTGTCTTAACCCACAAGTTTGCTCTATTAACAGGGTAGATCACATGCTTATAAACTGCCTCGTACCTTGAAACCCTATAATAATCTGGAATATAAGTATCAATTTTGAAATTCCTACTCTTCATAGCAGAATGAGCATGAACACATGGGAGTCAGGTTCATCAACAACAACATCACAGTAGTCAGGTTGAGACAAAGTGTGTTCAATATAAATATGAACATTTTGGTGCACTCTATACAGATCTGAAATTTCTAAAGCACCATTGTTATCAACAAGTGGATTCATCCCAAATTGAGGGTTCTTGTAAAATATTGTTTCAAGCTCCCTATAACCTAAGTCTTTCAATACACCAACTAGCTCAAAATAACTCCATTTGTCTACATCTACTCTCAAATCATCTACTACTACATTCTCATATACTACGACCTTCATCTGTGAACTCACAACTATGATGAATTTTAAGACTTATGTATTCATCCATGATACCTAATCATATCATCTAAATAATTAGAGTTTACACTAACAAATTTACATAAACCCTAAATCTGAACCTCTAGCAGAAAACCCTAAAACAGAGACAAATGAACTAACCTTTTGATTATGTCTCCTTCGCGTCTTGAATCCTCCGCCCTCAAACCTTCGCGTCTTGAATCTTCGCGTCTGCAAACCTTGAATCTTCTTCAATGATTCAATGATTCAATGAACTCTCCAAGCGTTGTATTGTGCCTTCTTCTGGGTAATGGAAATGTTGGATTGTTTTTCTATGTATCGTGTTTTCTTCTGGGTAATGGAAACGTTGGATTGTTTTTCTTTGTATCGTGCCTAATCATATCCACGCCAGCAGCTCCACCTGGACAAACGTGACATTTTTCTCAAAGTTTGACTAACGGCAACAAACAGAAGGATAAACGCGACACCATTTTAAAAGTTAAAGGACCAACTTGACACTTTTTTAAGATAAGGGACCAAACTGGATCCTGAGCTAAAGTTAAGGGACGAAAACGGTTATTTTGCCTTTCATGGACGTTTTTGGGGTTGAGGAAGATGAAAATTTTGCTGAAAATTTCAGAAAACAACCACTTTTTAGTAACGTCTTCGTGCATGATTTTAACCATAACTTTCAACTCGTAAATCTTTTTGGGATGAGGTTTGAAGCGTTGGATAACTTAAACAGAGGGATATAACTTTGTTTCAAGGATAAAATATTTTTAACGATTTCATCAGAGGTTGGTAGCAGACGAGAAAGTAGTGTGTGAGGTGATGAATATGGACGAGGTTTGTATTGACAAATGATTTGATGTGTTGTGAATGATTTGGAGGGTATGTTTGATTATATTGGTGGTAGTCCAAAATGGTGGATTACATTAAGCGTGGTTGCAATTGTGTGATCGATTGTGGATCACTAAAAATATTATTATAATTGTTATGTTAATTGCATTATTACTATGTCATGCATTCGTTGTTGATGTGTTGAAAGAGATAAGTCATAGGTCCGAAGGGGGACGAAAGACTTATCTGAAACTGAGAAGGGAGAGTTTGGGATTCCAAAAGGGATATTGGGTTCGTATGATAAACCATTGATGGGATTTGGTACCACATGCATCGTGTAATGTTGTCGAGTCTCATTACATTGTAATTATGTTTTGCATGTGCATTTATTGTGGTGAAAATGTGATTGTGAATGAATGTGATTTGTGTGTATAAATATTACTCTCTTAATTATTATACATTGTTTATTATATGAATGAATTTCTCACCCCTTTTGTGTTTATTGTATTTGTTCTCCCTCGGAGTACAAACAATCAGGTGCCTGAGTAGTTGGAGATGTACCTCATGTTGCTATCGGTCGAGTCTACTAGTGGAGTTGCTCTGATACGTAACACTGTGGAACGAGCTATTTTCTTTATGTTATTTTGTTAAGTATCTTTTAATTTAAAGTAATTATTGAACTACTTTTGGTGTGGGTGATTTGTTAAGGCTATGGATGTCATACTTTTGTTTAATTCCGCTGTTTGGACTATAATTTTTTATTAAATGAAGTAACATTCAAACTTTTTGGATTGTGAAGTGACATCCTACTTGGATATAATTATATTTTGTTTATTAAGTATTGAGTCGGGAAGTATGATGTTACAACAGGCGACATGTTTCACTTACTAAGGCAGCAGAGGTACCCTAGTGTCCGGCACACGGGACGGTTTAGGAGATTCACCTAGGCCAACTCATTAGGAGATACTAGAGGAGAAGCAGACTAGGGTAGATCATGCTCATGATGTGTTGACTAGATGTCGTTGTATTGTGGAGATTGGCCAAGCGAGTATTGACAGAGGTCTCTTTCTGGATGGCTCTGAGGTGATGGCCGTTCTAGATGCCATGGTGAGGGAGGCACGAGAAACACTGATGTACAAGAGACAACGTCAGAACACAAGGGGGTGGGGTCCGTCATACATAGTAGTATATAATATTTATACTATGAATTTATTATCAATTATATTTTATTTTAACTTATTTCGACTTCATTATGTATCAGTCAATAACTTATTTTAACCATCTGAATTTATGTCTATTTTTAACATATTGATTGTATGGTTTAATACTCATCATAGTATACATTTACTATATCTGTAGACATACCATATGTATATGGAGATGCATCTCCATATATACATATGGTATGTATACAAAGATGCATCTTCAAATCAATTTATGTTTAAAAGAATCCTTTTAAAGAGAGATACATCGGATGTGTATTTAAATATTTTAGAGATGCATTTCCGGATTATTTTTTACAAAATATATTAGTGTGACTCAATTTCCGGATACATCGGATTTGTTAAGGCTATGGATGTCATACTTTTGTTTAATTCCGCTGTTTGGACTATAATTTTTTATTAAATGAAGTAACATTCAAACTTTTTGGATTGTGAAGTGACATCCTACTTGGATATAATTATATTTTGTTTATTAAGTATTGAGTCGGGAAGTATGATGTTACAATAGGCGACATGTTTCACTTACTAAGGCAACAGAGGTACCCTAGTGTCCGGCACACGGGATGGTTTAGAAGATTCACCTAGGCCAACTCATTAGGAGATACTAGAGGAGAAGCAGACTAGGGTAGATCATGCTCATGATGTGTTGACTAGATGTCGTTGTATTGTGGAGATTGGCCAAGCGAGTATTGACAGAGGTCTCTTTCTGGATGGCTCTGAGGTGATGGCCGTTCTAGATGCCATGGTGAGGGAGGCACGAGAAACACTGATGTACAAGAGACAACGTCAGAACACAAGGGGGTGGGGTCCGTCATACATAGTAGTATATAATATTTATACTTTGAATTTATTATCAATTATATTTTATTTTGACTTATTTCGACTTCATTATGTATCGGTCAATAACTTATTTTAACCATCTGAATTTATGTCTATTTTTAACATATTGATTGTATGGTTTAATACTCATCATAGTATACATTTACTATATCTGTAGACATACCATATGTATATGGAGATGCATCTCCATATATACATATGGTATGTATACAAAGATGCATCTTCAAATCAATTTATGTTTAAAAGAATCCTTTTAAAGAGAGATACATCGGATGTGTATTTAAATATTTTAGAGATGCATTTCCGGATTATTTTTTACAAAATATATTAGTGTGACTCAATTTTAATGTTTTGAATTAAGACAAAGATGCATATGAAAATGTATCTCCGAAATATTTTTTCATTAGGATGGGATAAGAAATCCTCTTATTTTAATTGATTTAAACAAACTCAAACTTTTTTATACGCAATCAACTCTCAAACTCAATTTTACAATTCAGAATCTTTTAATTTTTTTAACTTGTTATTTATCACATGAAAATAACAACTTTCTTAACTAAATTATTTCCAACTTAAATTTTCCAATCTCTCTCAACAACATACACGTAAAACTATCATGTGGTTTCATCGCAATCCATGATGGAAACTTCATTGAAAGTAATGAAGGTAAAAAATTGAAGCAGGGAACGTCCATTCCCTCCCAATACTTAAATGTCAAAAGTTAAATATCTAGAAGAAACCAAAACATATAAGAGGAGGGTATATGTCAAAGATCATTAACTCCATCAAATTAACAATTCAGTAAAATATCCCACTGAAGACATCTCCTGTACTGGCTCAATGCTGAAAAATCTACTTAATAAATGATGCTAAACGTGGGTCTGCACGGTATGGAAGACCACTTCGTGCTCCTAGATCCCTGCATTTCACACCAGCCTGAAATCCCCATTAAAAGCCATAAGCTTTCACACACACAATAAAACTGCTAGGACTGGGACAATATCATAGGGCTTAGATTAATTTGATTGAGGTTAGAGGTTCAAATTTTGTCGTCATTATACACAAACATATGGCAGTGTAGAATATCTAGCTGAGGGTAGCATATTATGACAATTAACATACCACATTAGCAGCAAAGGGTAGCATAGTCTCTGGTGAGAACTTCGAACAAATAGCTGAAAACAAATCAAGCAAAGAACATATATCTTAAGTGATCATTCAATACTAATATATATGGCACACAAAAACCTGTGTGAAAGACAATTTAGGGGCCTTTTGAAGACCATAAGAGAAAAATGGAACAGTTGTTGAATTACCGTAGATTACAGCTCCAATAAATGCATCGCCAGCACCAGTGGTATCAATAAGCTCTGATGGTGGAATGCTCTCAGCTGTACCAATGTATAGTTTCCCGGTAACCGTTCCTATTCCTTCTGCCTTCAATTTTGCAACTGACTGTGTGAATGGGAAAAAATGATGACTAAAATGTTGATCAAGAACACAAATAAGCATGTTTTATCAAATTTACAATCTCTGTTTCTAGAACTTCAGGTATCCAAGTCAATCGGTATGTCACTATAAATGTCTAGAGAACTTGTATTTCTCTGTAACATAATTGATATTTTAGCTCAGAAAAATTAAATAACATTTAGAAGATACTAGATCAAACCTTCTATTAGTCAAAAAGGTCAAGTGATGTGGTTCAAACTAGTATATACTAAAACATAGAGAATGACAGGGCATGCTAAATGCAAGTTATTCAAAATTTCCTTGTATTTATGTACTTGTCTGCTTGTAGACCATAAAAATGGCCTTACTCATTCCGAGATTCCATTTACTTTCATATCAAGATCAGCAAATAAATGCATGACTGTCAAACGTGGACGCCTTTTCTGCAAAGGTTTGTTGGCGTCCCTAGAATGTCTTCCTAGTTCTCACTATTGCCATATAATCCATCCAGTTTATCTGAACAAAGCAACGTCATTGTGTTCATTTAGTTTGGGTTTTAGTACCATTTAGAAATAAACATAGATTATATAGGTTATCATTAGAACATTAGTATAAAAAACACAGCTCTTGCCAGAGGGATTGGACAATAATATTGGCCTCATGAATGATTAAAGAAAACAGACCAATACTTGCTTGAAGAATCATATAACCTTTTCTGTGTTAACGTCGCATGCTGTTCACTTCATCGTACGAAATTGGCACAAAATGGCATTAGCTGGTAAGATAGAGTCTATATAGCAAGAACACACCAATGGATTATTCTAAGAATACATTTTCAAAAAACCCTTGCAAAATAGATCCTTCTAAATGGTTTCACTATAGATTGGGTGCTTGAAATAGCCCAACAATGTCAATAGATTTATGTACAACTACCCTGCTTAGTGGATTAAAGCTTGGTGCTAAACTTTACTTCAGTAATACTAGTACCAAAATAAAGAAAAAGAGTTCTGAGTTTAATTTGCATTACCGATGATATGCAGGTTGGAACGGGTGCACTCTTATCCTTTCTTAACTCCAGTGACTCCAATAAGCTGTCTATATCCACTTCTTCCGTGGAAAGACTTACTGCCAGAAAAGGCTAAATGATTAAAACCTGTTTACTTTAAAAGCAGGTACAACAGTGATTATGCCAGCAGTCATCTAAATGTACCATTAACACTTCGCTCAAGCATTATACAACCATCTTTTCCCAAAGTTACAGCCACAAATTTTACGTTGGGCAGCCTTAAAAGGATAGAAATAAGTGCTTGTGGAACAGTTGATGCCTCTGTCCATGCCTGTAAGCAAAGAAAGGTCATATTCTGTGTATTTTATAATGCTTAAAAGGAACACAAACCCACAGAGCAGAGTAAAACAATCCGTAAAACAAATAGACAAATATTTATATAAAATTTAAAACGTTAAAGCAGCCAGAAAAGATAAATGATATGTACAATTGGTATCATTAAAGGAATATTTACTTCCCACAACAAAAGAATATACCTTATAGATAATTGAAATAACATATGTACAACTGAACACATAATTTTGGGGACACTGCTCTTTTGATGCTAAGACACTAAAGATAGCTTATATATTATTCTCAATAAATAGTACATTTATTGTCGGCATGATAGAACATAAAAGTAGACTGTTTAAATCAATTAAACATTTATGCACATGTAAACAAGGTTTGTAAGAGAACCGTAGTATTTCATATTTTATTATTTTTTACAGACAGCACTTTCATAGAAAACAATGTAATCACCTTTGGAAACTTCGCTGAGCATACAACATAATCAGCTAATTTCAGGAGATCATCCAACCCTTCCCTTGGTCTTTCTGCATCAATTAAGATGGGTATATTCTTCCTAGCTGCCTGCACTGGAAAAGTACAAGATTTTGCTTACTTCTCTCTGTGAAGCTCCCTTCTCCCTTTCCCAACCTCATTTACGAGCAAAAGAAAATAACTGAAAAGTTGTAAAAGACACCAAGTGTATATTTGGATAATAAATTAAAGAAGGGAATGCATTTTTCATTTTATAATAACTAATACTATTACTAACATACCCTGTTTTGATAAGTATTATAATGGATGTATAAATGAATACATAATTATTATTAACACGGCCAGAGAAATAACTCCCTGCAGAATACGGTTACACAGTGACAGGTTTTACCAACTGTGGTACAGAATAAAGTAACTGCTATAACTATGCAAACTTCTAGGAATTAGAGAGCCTAGTCTCTCCCAAACCGTAACCAACATAAATTTTTACATATATTAAATAGAATATAAAAATTTATTTTCATTTTTATTCTATTTAATATATGTAAACAAATTATATTGTGCCTGCTAACAACTTTTATATCATTTAAGCCAGTACTATGAATTATCCCATGTTCAACCATTGACATTAGTGTGATGGTTGGTATTCATATAATAAAAGAATATTAGCACTAAGCAATGTTGGCTATAAAAGTATATGTTTCTTTAATGAAATCTAGCACGATTTGACTTCTAAAATATGACTGGGCCCTAATAGTTAACATCCAAATTGCAAGTAAAATATATAGGTGATAACCTCACGGGCAACAACTAGAGCAGTTTCATACAACCTCCCATCAAAATATACAATGCTTGCTCCATCCAATACAGATAACAAACTCGATTCTGAAAGATCTTGGGGTATCATTGGAGGATATCCAGGGGTATGTATACAAGTACGAGTTTTCCTGAAAAATTACAGTAAGAACGAGTCAAAGGGAAACCCGGTACTTCAAACCTCCTGCCTTTGCAGGATCCAAAGAAGGGTTAGACCCATTTTAGATATATTGTAGGAAGCCTTAGTTTGCATTTGCAAGAGGCTATTCTATAACTTTAACCAGTAACCTCTTAACTACATTCTAATACCTCTAACTGTTATGCTAAGACTCCCTCTCACTTAGAATGATTCAAGTTACCATTTAAATTTTCAACGGTTTCATTGCCAGAAAATGCTTGAAGATCTTAACATAAATATGAAGAACTATATCACATAATTTATGTTTTACTCTATCTACTAATGAACAATTTCTCCTTCGAATTTATGTATCATGTTAGCTACTTTTTGGAAACAAGTCTTACGCATTTTGAAGTGTCCAAAGATGATTGACACAATAATAGAATGGAGACGAGGCAAGTGACAGAAAATAGATATGTGAGTATAAGTGCAAGGGTTGCTGCTGGAGTTCATTTAATGACAAAAAAAAAAAACTACTAATTTGTGTTCAAAACCATACAGAGTAACCAGATCCACCTAACTCATGTGTCCCCATCCCCCTCTTTTGGAATTAGATCATGAATATATTCAACAAAAAAGTCAAGATTTTGTCACCATATATGTAAGACAATGGCCATTACGTTTCGTTGTCCACAATAATATATGTAAATGGTGAAATTCCCTCTTTAGATACCTGCAAATAACAAGGAGCGTAACCAAAAAAAAAGTGTTAATAAAATAGTCGAGGTCATTGGCTGTCCAGAACTCCACTGGCTGCTTTTAATTCTCAATGGAACAAATTCTTATTCATATAAAATCTTTAGGAAATCACACTAAAAGTAAATTAGTTACAGGAGTAATGAGATTGCAAGAGCATATAAACAAACAAACAAACAAAACTAGGTGGAGAGCTGAAGAAATGATAGACCATGGATCATATACTTAGGCCACAGGATTATAATGTTGCTCATAACTAATAGGCATGGGCAACAAACTCAAATATTACTGTACATACGAAAAAGTAATATTTCAAATTTCAAGCTTCGAGAAGATTAAAAATACAAATAAAGAGCAAAGTATGTTAAATTACCACAATAAAGGATGTATCTACACCATCAACTTGTAGCTCATCTAACATACCCCTGCCTTGGCTGTCATCTGCAACCTAATGAGCACCAAACAGGTTAGTAAACACAGACAACCACACAATGGTTTCAGAATCAGTAAACTTAAACGGATCTTAAATAGAGAAATAAATAACCTTAGAAATGAGCCTCGTGTTTAGACCTAATCGAGCGAGACAGGTTAAAGCATTGGCTGCATTGCCACCTCCTTGAACCTGAAAATCACAATGCATAAATCAACTGTTTAAGATTTAAAACCATTTTGAGCAATATATTAACACAATTAGTCACAAAAAAGTAAATGTGAAAGTAGAAAGGGAACCTTCAAGGTGGTGGTTCTGATTTTGTCATCAGGCTTAGGATAGGCAGCAACGGTAGCCAAGAAATCGACGGTCAGCGATCCACAACCAACCTGCATACGCACGTGACAGTACGTGTAAAGAGAAAAGCAAGCCTCGAAATTTGGCGGGAATGGAGAAAAGAGAGAGGGGAACGCACAACGGTGGCGTTTTGAGGAACGGAGGAGCACATTTTGACCCGAAAATTTCTGCTGCGATGTTTCCTTGTTGACTGAAATTCATTAAACAGATGAAAAATTACATTTACACGAATTTTGAAGAGAGAAAGAATGCGTTAGTGTTGTTGTTACGTTGTTGAATTTGAGAGGTTGAATGTTGAAATTGAAAGTTGAAGAAGTAGTAGTGTTAGAAGAAGTGCAGAGATTCGACATGGTTGAAGGTGCTGCTGTTGCGGATTGTTGAGATTGGATTATTCTGTTTTGTGTTCAACGGAAGGATGAAAGAATGGTGATTGGCCACAAGTGATCAGTGAAGTGGATCAACTTTTCCTCCACGCGGCGTTCGTCTGCTAACTTCAACTTTCCATTTTATTTTTTATTTTCTTATATAATCCTATTTGTTATCTAGTTATATAATCCTACACAATATAATTATAATAACATGATATATTAAAATTTAAGAAAAAAGAATGGTATCTTTCAAAGAAATTTGTGTGCATTTGTATGAATAAAAGAGTGATATTTATACTATTAAAAATATAATTATTACACAAAAATAAATAATTGGTATTTACTATTTTTTTTTGGTCAGATTGATATTTATTATTTTAAGTTTAACATATTGAACATTTATAATAAAGTATTATTATTTTAAGTTTGACATTAAGATAGATATTTTTAAATAATAATAAATAATTTTTTATTTATTATAATTTTTTCTATTTGAAATACTTATCATGGTGTTTAATTGAAATTTTGTCGAGGAGAACTTATAGAAACATATATTGTCTCATGGCCTGGGCCCTGGCTTGACCGAACAGGTCCAGCCCAATGATACTTAGTTAGGCCCAATCCGATTTCGGCTACATCCGTCGAGCACATGGTTTCCGTCGGGCAGACAATGGCCCCTTCGCAGACAGAACCTTCTCTCTTGTCGAGCAGAACAACGTGTCCTTCACACGTTCTCCACGTGCTCCCCTCGACGGGGACACGTCATCAACCAACTGCCCACTTTCCGGAGTCCACGGAGCAGTTGAACTAGGGCGAAGACCACGTTCCGGTCTTCACTATGCCACGTAAGCCCTAGCAGTCACCTGGGTTGGGCCTGGCAATCCAGCCCAACACAAGTGACCGTTGGCCCAACGTTGGGGTCTCCCTATAAATACCCTCTTCCCCAGGAGGGTCAAGTATTCTCTTCTTACCCTTTTCTGTATTTGTTGTCACTCTGTCCAAACTCTTACTTTGACATCGGAGTGTCTTGCAGGTACACCCCCACCCCCACCCCCATCTCCTTCTCAACACCGGTGAATAGGCAGCAGATCAACGGTGTGTGGCAAGTCAAGGGTCCCCTTCTGATCAGATCAGATCAGTGGCGCCGTTAGTGGGAAACATAAAACTTCCCCGTTCCTCCGAGCAGAGAACCAAAGTTTCATCAACATTTCATGATCATGTCTAGCCCACACCACGACGATGTCGTTCACGACCTCATCCACGCTCCCACCTCGAACGGTGGCAAGCAAACGGGGGCATCCCAACCTCCGGAGACCGACGAGAGGGATGACCAGACTGCCTCTCCCTCGTCCGAAGAAGCTGCATACCAGACTGTTCTTCGGCCAAGGAGCCCGACAGCGTTCTAGCCCATCCTTGTCCTGGCCGGAGCAGACCTGACGGTGGCCGCCCTCTTCGCGGCCATCAACCAAACAAATCAGCTGCTGTTTCAACAGAACGCACGGATTGGCGCACTAGAGCACGAAGCCCCGTTGAGGTCCCCTCCGCGGGAAGACCAGAACGGAAACTCGAGGAGCCTGTCCCCTCGTCCTAGAAATCGTCGACCTCGGCTAGAGAGGCATCAACCCAAAGCAGTGCGGGAACGAACCAGGTCGCCCAGGAGACAAGTCCGTGAGCAACGGCCGGCCAGGGTGGATCCCCCCGCCAGACCTCCACGGGTCGAACCCCCAGTCAGGCGGCAGAGGGCACGAAATCAAGCGCCTCCGCCACCAGTGTCATCACCCCCTCAGTCGTCAATTCTCAGTGACGAGGACGACTACAGGACTCCTCTTTCTCAGGAGATCATGGCGGCTCCCATCCCCAACGGAATGGAGAAGCCCCTAGCACTCTCGACGTATGACGGTACCTCCGACCTAGACGACCACCTGGAGGATATCGAGGCCATGCTCAATTACCGAAATGTCCGAGGAGCTATCAAGTGCAGACTCTTCCCGACGACGTTGAGGAAGGGTTCCATGACGTGGTAGAAAAGTCTGGAGCCTAAATCTGTCACGTCGTGGAGGGTCCTGAAGGACCTCTTTTCAAGACACTTCACAGCATCCCGACATCACCCGAAGACAGAGGTTGCGCTGGGCGCCATAATCCAGGCCCCCGACGAACCCCTCCGGAAATACATCGAAAGGTTCACCCGGGAGGCAGTGCAGGTAACGACATCGGATGAGATGAAATGTTACCTGATGAAGCAAGGGCTGCACCGAGACTCCAAATTCTACGAGGTTGTGGCCATACACCGACCAACTTCTCTACAAGACTTCCTCGATATAGCCGCGCATTACATCCGGTTCGAGGAGACTCAAGCGGCCAACTCCGCCCGTGACACTCGAGACCGATAGACCCCCCGCGGGTCCCGAGAGAACGGAGCCTCGAGCCACCGGCGCGGAGGAGATCGCCGACGGAAGGATCGTCCCCGCGATCCCCGCGAGTAATACGGTCTTACTGGCCGATTTACAGAGTACACAGCTTTGGTCGCTTCCCACGAGCGCATATTAGCCGAGTGTGCGAAAACGGAGTTTGTCCAGGCAGGTGTCCGCTTCCCAAGTCGACACCCCCCAAGCCCAACGTGCACAAATCGAAGTTCTGCCGCTTCCACAAAAGCCACGGGCACATTACAGAAGACTGCATCCACCTGAAGGACGCAATCGAAATCTTGATCAAAGACGGGCACCTAAAAAGGTACACCCGAGGACGAGAAGCCCCGCGGCAAGAGGCTCTCGAGGCCAAAAGGGTGTAGGACCTCCCTTCTCCTGACGGTGACAACGGTCTGCAGGTTGCCCTCAGCGTCAGCCGGCCTGAAGATTGGTTCGCCCTCAGAGAGTTCGGCCTCCCTGCCGAGCTTGATCTACCGACGAGCCTGTACTCCCCACCAGTCGGTGGGAGTACTTTCCGAAGGCCATGGTCATCTCCGGTGGCTCCCCGAGGAACCTATCTGTGGGGTCGGTAAAGAGGAAGTTCAAGGAACTCATCACCAGCAGCTCCGGCAAAATGAGCACCCTCGACAAATTCCGTGGTCGGTCCAACCCGATCACTTTCTACCTCGAGAAGCTCCCCAGGGGTTCCCCCAATTCAAACATCCCCCTCCTGATACGGGCAAGGATGGCAAACTTCGACGTCAGACGTATCCTAGTCGACAGAGGAAGCTCGATGGACATCATGTACACCCACCTTTTCACAACACTCCAACTCAATGAGTCCAACATGTCCCCCTACCTGGGTTCTGACCTCCATGGCTTCAACGAGACGACAACAAGGTTGTGGGGGTACGTGGAGTTAAAGGTTACCTTCGGGGAAAAAGAAACGGCCAGGGAGGTCAATATCCTCTTCCTGGTCATTGAATTCCCGTCCCTCTACAACTGTATCCTGGGAAGGACAACGATGGCCGAGCTCACCGCGGTGCCCTCCACCATCCACCTAAAAATGAAGTATTACACTAAGCGAGGGGTCGTTGTCACCCTAAACGGCGACATCGAAGCTGCCCGACGGTGCTTCGAGGCCGCACTGAAAGGCCTAAGCACGATCGGCCCAGCAACCAAAAAAGTAGCGCCCACCACTACTACGAAGAGCGAACCCAAGGACCTCGTCGGCTCGGTAGACCTCGACAGCCGCTTCACCGAAGAGACCGACCGCGAGGACGAAGCCAGTGACGCTCCTCCATCCAACGGGAAACCCATCCACCCAGCGCGTCCCATCCCAGATGGTGACTTTGAGATCGTGACCCTCAGGGACAACGAGACGAGAACCGTGAAGATCGGGGCAGGACTGCCCGACCTTACGAGGAAACAACTGAAGGCCTGCCTCCGCGAATGCTGATCTCTTCGCATGGAGTGTCGCAGAGATGCTCGGACTCGACCCTGAGGTCGCCTGCCATCAGCTCTCCATCAACCCGACCACCAAGACCGTAGTACAATATAGGCGTAGGCAGTTGTGGCTTCTGCGAAAATAAGGTGCCATCAAAACAGAAGAGTCGCCACCTTTCGTTATTTATCCCTTAGAACGGGAAAGGAAACAATCAGAAAAACCTGACGAAAAGGTATAAGACAAGGTCATCGCAACCATTGTCTGGGTTCGGGAGTCGGTTACGCAAGAGGAAGGTATTAGCACCCCTCACGTCCATCGTACTCGATGGGATCCATGCTTGTTTGTGTTTATCTGACGGGTTGGTTTTACTATCTACCTATCAAGGCCAGTTCACAAATAAAAGAAAATGACTCGGCAAAGTGTCGCACTTTATGCCTACGTATTCTCATCATAGAATGAGAAATCAGAGTCAACGTAGTTCGGCTAACTACGGGTTATGGGGGAAGGTGGCTCGCCAATACATCAGTATTGTGCCTACGTACTCTCAACAGACATGAGAGATCAGAGCTTACGTAGTTCGGGATAATACGGATTACGGGGGTTCAGATTCATCTGTTTTTCCGAGTAGGGTTAACAAACAGTTCCGGCAGTTTGGCGTATGCAGCCTGCTCGTCAGAGACTCGTGCGTTACCGTTTACGGTAGAACTGGGAGTTAACAACACTCTTTTCTTCAGAAAAGCTTCATTTGAATTATGGGCCCACGGGGCAAAGAGGTTTGAAGTTTGTTTTCTGTCTTTTACGGAGGAACTGTTTTTCATGGATGTTTGCAACCAATATCGCACTAGAGACTATGACCTGAGAGTGAATGCGTCGCATGTCACCCAAAGGGTACCATACTGAACATCCAGACTGTTGAAAAGAAACTCTCCAACAATCCTTTCTCAGATAGCTTAAGGCTCGTAACATACGACGTCAATTAACCTTTATTACTGTATTTTAATTTGTTTTGAGATGAGAAGAGAGAACGAACAGGTTCAACTAAGGGGAGACTATCAAGTCCTAATGTTGTCATGCCAAGGATTCATCCTATGGTTGAAGTTCGAAACAGGGAACTCCTAGAAGTTATCATG